AAGCCATTATCGATACTTAAGCTGGAGCCCGTTATCCTTGAGAAGCATCATTGAAAAGACGTATGTATGACTGTCTGTACATATATTCGACACACATACACACACACACAGATATATATATATATATGTGTGTGTGTGTGTACACCTAGAGATAAGGACATTACAATTCACATCTAATGTCAGTTAAAATCCATGAAAAAAGTAAAAAAACACGAATGCTGCAAATATGGGGCCCGTATATATACATATATACATAAATAAACAAATAAATGAATAAATAAATTTTTAAGTAAATAAATAAAAAACAAATATATATATATACACATATATATATATATTTAAGTGTGTAATAAGATCATATAATGGTGTAATATATAACCTATGAATTAGTATAGCAGTAGTTGTTGCAGTGGTAGTTGCAGTGCCAGTCGCCGTCGTGGTGTCCCGTCGTTGTTTGTTCGTCCCCATGTCGGGATGCTGATGGTAGTTGCATGTGACGACGGAGGAGCAGGGAGAACCGGAGGAGCAAGTAGCGGTCGCGCTGGCAGGAAGGAAGATTAGCAAGAATGGAAGCAGTCGCCCTGTCCTCGGCACTTTTGTCAACAAACGCATTGTGCTGCCTATTAATTATTAACTACTTTCTTGCCCTTTGGGCAGGAAGTTGGCGAGGGACTGATAGCATGGGCAGAGCTGCATCCCCCTGTTGCATGGCCATGATGCAAACGCGTTTGGACCGAAGTGGAGTAGGACGGGCACGTAGACAGCTTATCCGTGGATTGTCCTGCAATGGCCATGGTTTTATGGGGGTCGAGCCTCAACTCCGTACCACCACCCTGCAAGCCAACGGAGGTTGGTGGAGATCAGGATCTACCACCGGCTGTCCCGATTGACGAACGTCCGCATGTTGAGCCCCGCCTGAGCGATGGAGGAGAGCCCCTACTGCTCGATGGAGGTGAGATGTGCCGACGAGCTCGCATGAACACTGGTGACTTTGGGGTGCCCTCGTTGGAGACTCGGCAGTCCTACTTCTCCAACACCATGCCCAAAAGGCCCGAGGTGCCTGCAGCTCCCAACCGGGTCTTGCACAACCACCATAAAGTTCGTATCGAGAAGATGATGAAGGAGCTGTAACGCTGGCTTTACAGCATTTTGCTCCTGTAGCCAAGGGCGAAGCGAGTCTTGATGCATAGATGCTTGCCGAAACTGAGTCGTGGCAGCTTTCAGTCGGACATAGCTGATTAGGAAATTCTCAGCCATCTATGTAACCTTCCTGAGTCTGTGTATCAACAAGGAATACTTATACATATAGCAGATCATATCAAACAACAATATGACGGCTAGCTCTGTGAATATATGTATATATATATAGAGAGAGAGAGAGTATGTATATGTACATGTATATGTAAATGCCTACACAACGTGTGTGTGCGTGTATACACACATACACACACATATATGTATATATATATATATAGGCACGTGTATTACAACCATAACCAATAGCAAACTTAACCATTTTAATGTGAGTCATGGAACCCATCAAGCTCTGGAGCCCACGAAGCCGTTCCAAAGCAAACCTAAACCCTAAACCCTTAAACCCTAAACCCTAAACCCTGTGGGAGGGAGAAAAAACCCTTAAACCCTAAACCCTAAATCCCTATAAACCCTAAACCAAAGTCTTTCGCAGGAGCTCGGCACCCTCTCAGGTAGGCGAAAGCTCGAGAAGGAGGTCGCTTCCCGCAGGCGGAATAGGATTTAGGTTTGTGGTTTTTGTGGGTTACGGGCTTAGGGTTAAGAGTTTTTGGGGGTTAAGGGCTTAGGGTTCGGAATTTGGGGGTCAGGGTTGATGGAGTTTGTGGTTGACCGGAGGCAGCCCGGTCTGCATGAAGACGCGAAGAAGGCATTGCCCAAGCAACGCAGATGGTTGCTGGGGCGCACTTGGGATCCATGTTAAATCTATGAGCCAAGTGTCGGTTTTAATTTACCTCGTGCTTTGAGTTAAACTTAACTGATGCATTCGGCATTTTCGAACAAGTTGTCGAATTAACACATCGGCACTGTGCATCTTCACAGTCGACCTTGTGAATCTGTAGCACTAGTAGCACCCTTGTGTGAGAAAGTGTTGTTGGTGACCTACCCAGGAACTTCACACGGCCGTGGTTCAGTCGAGCAACTTCCTAGGACCACGAAGCCATGTGGAAGTCTGCAGATGTCTGCAGCACCTTTTGAACCTAAGTGCCTCCGTCAAGATCGGCCCGTTGTATCAGCTCTCCTTCGTTTAGTTTTCCTCCCAACCGTTCGGACGTGCGGCGGAAATTTAAGCGTGCCGCACGGCCACCACCAAGTTGGGCACTTTCAAGTTTACTTTTCACGCTAAGCCCGAGAACTTCAAGGTGAAGCGAGACTTGTGTGGAAGCTGAACCAAGCACACACCATCTGTACTCGCTCACCTGGCTCACCACTGAGTAGCTGAGTAGGTAACCTGTAAGCTCTTGGGGTTTATGTAACCCTACCCCTACCATAGTTCAAAAGGTTAGGGTACTCAGCCCCTAAGTTAATAAAACAAGTCTCACAATCCCAGCTGAGAAGCCAAAAACCTGGACCAGCCCAGTGCTGTACCATTGCGCCACGCCTCAAGTGTTTAAGGCTGCACGCACGCACCCGGTCACATGGGTGCTAGGCATTCATCAGTCGGGATCAACCCAAGTCTTTTTGGCCAGGCCATTTGCTGCTGAGAGTTACTTCTGAGCCTGTTCACACATTCTTAAACCCTAAACCCTAAACCCTTCTGTGTGCATGGCCAGGGCACGAGTCACAGAGACCTACGTGGGCTTTCTACCTGTCTGCCCAATGCAGCAGACAGCAAACAGGCAGCCACCACTGATGGGAGGAGCAATCATCCCCCGAAGCCGACCCCGAAATCCCTCTCAGTATTGTCCGGTCTCGTAACTGAACTGAACTGATTCGGCAAGATGCCTGGCTTGGGGTATTGGGTTCAACGCTGCGGGTGCAGGGTTCCGTCGTTAGGCGCGTTATTCTTGGCCAGTTTGGTGAAACTAGGACTCAAGACATCTCAAGGCCTCGATTTGCTTATCTCCTTATTCTTCCAAGAGACCTGCAACCCGGATCCATTGTTGTCAGTAAAGTCTCGAGGGGAAGCTGCTCGTCCGAGATCACTGGAGTGCTTGCACCCAACTTGCGTTGACTGCTGTCCCATATTCCGTTTGGGGGTATGGGACCTTTAAGAAGAACTGCAGATATCAGCTTCCATTCGTATGAGCGCCTTTGACAAGACGTTCCTCGAGGCACCTCGCAGAAAAAGAGTGCAGGGTCTCGGCACTTCGGGATCAGTTGCGGTTCTTGTTGGCAAGACTTATAAGAACTCTGTGCGACATACCGCGGCGCAATCCCTCCTGCGCCCCGCTCCGCGAGCTAAACGCTGAACCGCAAATCCTGAATCGTCAGCCCCAACCCCAAATAGCAAACAAGCCAAATGCAAGTCCCTTCAACCCGTGTCCCAGGCGATACTCGGACCAGCTGTCAGGTGCTTTGACTGCATCCATACCTGTTGGTTGTTGGTTATCCCATTTCTTGATCACTGTTTCCTAACCATAAAACCCACGAGCAAGAACTACATTGGAAATGACGAGTAAATTTCGGACACCCGCACTGCTGTCCGGACTGCTCGAATGCAATAGTGCCGAAGGCTTGAAACCAGGAGCCACGACACGAGAATGCGTGGCGCTGGTCACTTCTACTATTGGCATCCAAGGGTTAGGGGTTGAGGGTTTAAGGGTTTTGGGGTTTTTGGGGGTTAAGGGTTTAGGGTAACGTTTAACCTTAAGATCGAAGCGGTCGATGGCTGTCGAGCAGTCTCAACCCCGTGAGGGGTTTTACGAACTTGCTTGTTGCTGGCCCTGCCGACACCGTGAATCCCAACCTACCAGTGCAGACCCCGATTGAGAAATCCACGTGCTTAAGGGCCGTCTAAAGGGGATGATTTCAAAAGTCTCTCCTGAAACGAATTGTTTAACCAGGGGCCTACCACACTACACCCAACTCTTCTAGCCAAGCCCTAAACCCAACTAACCCAAAAAGCCGTGAATCCGTTAAACCCTGGACCCCCAAGCCCTAAGCCCAAATCCTGCACCCTTCCGAACCCCTGATCTGGAAGATCAGGTACCTGGTAAGATTACGGATTACGGATTAGGGTTTAGGGTGAAGGTGAGTAAGCGCTTGAGGGAACTGAAGTTTCAAGTGATTGTAAGTATCGGCTTCTTGCTCGCTAAACCCGAAACCCTAGAACCCGAAACCCTACACGGGCTTGTCTTGCGAATGAGCCAGATGTTGCTACATCGTCCGGACTAGTGTTCTCTCGACTGTACCCTGCAATGCGGGCTTCGTCCTAGCTAGGTGGGAGGCAAAAAATCCTGGGCTTGTCCTTGCGAAGCCGGAGGCAAAGAAAGTTGAGCCGAGCCCAAGCCCTAAACCCGAAACCCTCCCGGAGGGGCCTTGATAATTAGAATGGGGTTTTGGATACCCCTGTAGAACAGCTATACTGTAGAAGCCTAAAGCGAGTAGCATCAGTAATTACTCAGGCCACTAGAGACCCCAGGCCCGGAGGCTTTGGGCCCCAAGCGAGGACCAAAGAAGTCCTCAGCTGACATCAAGAAGATGGTGAAAGAGTTCGTGAGGGAGATGGTCAAGGCTGTACTTTACATATGGGTAGTTCTCTAAATTAGGTTCCCCCTGTTTAGGTTCCCAATATAGTTCGGCACCCTTATAGAAAGGACCCC